TTGCAACCCCCTTTGGTTACAAAGACAAGGCACTGTATGTAAATGTATATGTGTGAACTTCTGTAAGAGTGTGTGTGTGTGTGTGTGTGTGTGTGTGTGTGTGTGTGTGTGTGTGTGTGTGTGTGTGTGTGTGTGTGTCAGACCTCCTGCTGACCAAAGGGTCGTAAACCCAGGAAGCTTACATCAAAAGAAACAGATCTTTCAGATAGGATGTATCTACAATAAAACCTCCCCCAGCACAGAGTGGTTGGAGAGGTGGTCAGGATCAAAGGAATGGCTTTGATCCTACTGCTTAAACTAAGACTGTACAAATTTAAGAAACACAATGGCAACATTCAACAATTAGACTTAACAGTTGTATTTCATCATCCTGGGCCATCAGCTAATACACTATGTGGCAACTAATGTGTTATGTATGTATTTGTGACAACTGTATATTAAATATGAATATTGAATTGGATTATTGAATTCAATTAGAAAAATAAAATATAGCTTCACGTTGGATTGATATTTAATATTGGAATACCCAGCCTCTGCTCTCTGAGTCTGGATATTGGAAATGGAAAATAAAAACATTTAAATGATGAATATGTGAAATGAAGTTCAGCATGTCACCAGACATGAAATTTGGTTTGGAACAACTACAAGACAACACATCGTTCTATTTGTTTACTTTAATGTCCCGTTTTCTTCACTCTTTCTCTTTTGCTTTGTGACAACTGTAATAGAAATACAGAAATCTGCACAGAAACAGGTGTTATAACTATGTGGCACATGTTTGAACCTGTTTGCTTTGTGATTGCACTTTTACTCCGTCAGCTTGCTTGAATTATTTTTTATGGTTTATTCATGAGGATTAAGTAGAAGCTTTAATAAAACACTCATATGATATCTGAAGTATGTTTGCCTTCTCAGATTTCCACCACAGATTGTAAATAATTTGTATATATGAGGTGTACTTTTACATTAATAAATCCAGTGTCGTCGCAAACTGTCACGGTCCCCCCTCACCCCGCTCCCACCCTGCCCCTCCCCCTCCCCCCCCCCTCCCCTCCCCCCCCCCCCCCTCCCCCCCTCCCCCCCCCCCCCCCCCTAATGGACGTTGCAGTACCCACAATACCCCCTCCCCGCCACCCCCTACAAGAAACTGTCACGGTCCGCTGTGACGGACCGAGTGGAGAATGCGTGTAATGGACCCAGGTGCGTACACAAGTGAGCAGACGGGAGTGAGCTTTAACAGAAGGCGAGCCTTTTATTGTGGCTGGTAACACAAGAGAAACAAACAAGAATAAGGGCAGCACAAAAGCAATAACTAAACAGAAACCTAAACTGGGAATGAACTAAGGTAAGGCTATGACTTAGAATACAACAGACCGGGCATGGAAACACGGAGGGTGGGAACACAGACGACGCGACACAGACTGTAAGAAACACAGAGACTAAATACACATGAGGGATGATCAGGGGAAGTGGCCACACATGGGAACGCAGCTGACACACATGAACTTAACGACAGGACAGGAGGAGTGAAACTGAATACACTGACAGTGAATGCAGGCCTTCAAAGTAAAACAGGAAACATGAGACATGAACCGGGGAGACGTAGTACAGGGGGAGGTGACAATACTGACAGCATGAACTTGACAGTACAAGACGCACAGACATAAACACACGAAGGGCAAGGGAGACGTAATGCAAGGGTGATATATACAAATGGCTGGACTACCTTAATGAACCTAAACAATCAATAAACATCAAAATAGACTAAACACAAAACACCGGGTCGCACGACCCAGGACCATGACAAAACTAGTCTAGTGTGATTAGTCGTATTGTGAAACAGCACAACACTGTTGAGTGTTAAATTAACACTTTTGACAGTGTTATATGTTTAAAAGTAACCTAGTCAGTTTTGAAGATTAACAATGGCTAACACTGAGCAGTGCTGATTTTCTAACACTGGAATATTTCTAACATTTTGAGTTATTTTCCAGTGTTAGAAAATCAGCACTGCTCAGTGTTAGCCATTGTTAATCTTCAAAACTGACTAGGTTACTTTTACAGTTTTTCTCAGTCGCTTTGGTGCGTTTCTCAGATCAGAATTGAAATTCTCATAACTATTAGTTCAACCTCCACAACACTCAGTCATTTGTGCACATCATAGTAGCAATTTCTCCTCTCTCTGAACAAACTGCAAATGATTTTGGACATGAATCAGTTGCTTCCATACATTTCCCTGCTGCTTTCTGACATTTCCATTTGCTTATGTCATGTCAGTCAAAAGTAATCATACCTATGGATGCTGAATAGTCGTTCCCAATAAAACTAATAGTCATACATCCATTGCTTAAGTCATCACACACAAAATTGTTGAACTAGTTATCACATGCCAAATATTGGCCATCTGTCAAGCAAATCCTATACCTTTCTGTATCATTTTTCCTGGAAATGTCTCCGAAATTGAACAATTGATCTCAGGTGAATTACAGCTGTCACTCATGAGGAGGCTCTACCAAATGGGTGATTTTATGTTTACATGTATTCTACAGTGAACAAGTGACTGTAGCATATTTTTCTTTTGCACAATTCTGTAGGATTACAAACACTTCTACACAATGGAAATGTGAAACGTACGTATTCAGTGTCTCAGTTACTCCCAAGACTCCCATAACATCTACAGTGACTTTACTGCACATTTCAGATGGCTGTACAGGTAGGCCATAGTGCTGTCGTCAGCATTTTCAGGTGTCACCAATTGTTTTTGCAATGGGAAACACTGAAATTATAAACTGTCATAGTGGAAACATGACAATGCCATTTGACTATCTTGTTCATAAAGATGGTGTCAAGACTTTTCATTTTGATGGCACTGACAGTTTCATTGACATGGATACTTGCTTTTGAGGTATGGATAATCAATTCTGTGCATGTGACGTGCTTTTGCAGGCTATCCACTAGGTTTTGCAGTTTGCACTAATTGTTTTGGGAAATGCACTAACTGCTGTGCAAATGTTAATGGTGTTCTGAGGAACGCACCAAAGCGACTGAGAAAAACTGTAATACATATAACCCTGTCAAAAGTGTTAATTTAACACTCAACAGTGTTGTATTTAACACTCAGAGGTGTGGACCCATATAGACACTCTCTAGTGTTAATTTAACACTGGAGACAAGCGAGCTCTAAAAATTTAATCAATTAAATCCATCCAACATAAAATGAAAATCAAGTTCTGTTTGAACTTTAACAGTACAACATTAAAATCACAATTTTCATGTCCATGTTTTATGTTATGATTGAACCATTCCTCCATATAATAAGACAATCTAAATATTCTCTTTAAAATCACACATGTTAAGTTTCTGTGTTCTAGTGTAATATGGTGGCAGATTGAAATAAAATGTTAACGATGAATGAATGACTAAAAGCAAGCAGAAATATGAATATTGACTTACCTTCAATAACAAGAGAATTCAATTAGAAAAATAAAATCCATCTTCACTTTGGATTGATATTTAATATTGTCATGCTCAGACTCCGCATCTGTCTGGATATTAAAAGTGGAAAAGAAAAACATTTAAATGATGAATATGTGAAAGTAAGTCCAGTACGTCTTCAGACATGAAATTTGGTTTGGAACAACAACAAGACAACACATCTTCGTATTTAGTGTTTTTAAAACTCATGTCCTGTTTTCTTCACTCTTTCTTGTTTTGCTTTGTGGCCGCTCTCATAGAAATACAGAAATCTGCACAGAAAATTCTAAAATGCTATTTTGTTGTGTGAGCTCTTTGTATCTTTAACTATTTACTGTATGTGGCGCATGTTTGAACCTGTTTGCTTTGTGATTACAGTTTTTTTCTATCAGCCTGCATAAATAGATTTTATGTCTGTTCAGGAGGATTATGCAGAAGTTTTAATAAAACATTCAAATGATAACTGAAGTATGCTTGGTTTCTCTGATTTCCACCACACTGTAAATAATTTGTATATATGAGAAGTAACTTTATATTAATAAATACAATGTCCACGGTTTTCCTGTTGCAAACTAATGCTAGTGTGATGCTAGTCTGTTAATGTGCAACACAAGAGCTCTGAAAATGGATTTAATTAAATACATCCAACATAAAATGTAAGTAAAACACAAAATTCTGTTTTAACTTTGATAGTACAACATTTAAATGAGTCATTTTCATCTATTCTCTTACGATTGAACCATTACTTATACTAAGGCAATATAAATATTCCCTTTAAAATCACACACACATTTTTCTTTCTTTATTCAGCTGAGTTCACCTGTTTAAAAACAGCACAAACGAACTTATCTTATTCAATTCATTTATACTTTGGAACTGAGCCTGACTTGATTGACTTGTCTGACTAAAGCTAGCTAACTGACTTCAATCAACTGACAACAAATCAGAGGAAAGTTGAACTGCAGGACGGACTAAAGAAATGCTAAACTCTTAAACATCCCACAGGCATTTCCAGACATTATCGTTTGTGATCTTTACACTGGTTTGTGAACCTCTGTGAAATACTCACTATTGTTTTGTGATAACGTTATTCTTGTTATATTTTAAATGAAGATGTTTCACTATATTTAAGTTAAAGTCCTCAGTGACTGCAACTGCTCAGTCTGTCTCTTTCTGTCTTAAACCCTTTACAAACTCAGTGTCAGGAATCCTGATACAGGACCCAAACGCAGGACCTTTGAATACCGCCAGTGCGCTTATTTACAGTGGGGCGAATAACAAGTGCAGAATATTTTTGGTGCGCTCCAGGTGAATGTGTTTGCATAATACTGAATCTTTCTGTGTCACTTTGTGCTTTGTCTGTTTCTTTTCTTGTTGTGACAACAGCTGACTGTTAGTGCTGGCCTTTCTATTTCATTTTTTAAGACTTTTTAAGGCATAAATGAGGTCACACTAAATCCTGAATTAACTACAAACTGCATAAATGAACTATGAATTACAGTATGAAGTGAGGATTCATAAAAACTAGTAGCATGCTTACTCACAAATAGCTTGCTGTATCTGAATAAGTTAACCATTTACTCAGATTTTCTAAATAAGAGCATAAACCATTAACAGCTTTCATCAAGTACAAACTTGATGGAATCGATTACAGTAAATTTCATTTAGTTTTGTAACTTAGGTTTTGGGATAAGTACTGCATAATAAAATAATTTCATTTTAAGTCAGCTAGGTCCATCACAAAATAAGTTGTTTTTAATCTTCCAGCACATTGTGTGTCTTTGAGAATAATTTTACGAAAGATCAGTCAACTCTTATTTTGAACTTGATGTTTCACCAGTGGTGGTTAGCACTATTGCTCATAGTAAGAAGGCCCTGGTTTGAATCTAGCCTGGGGACTTTTTTGTGTGTAGAACTTGAATGTTCTCCTTGCATCGTCAGGGTGGTCTCCAGGCACTTGGCTTCCTCCCACAGTCCAAAGACCTGCACGGGTTTAGACTAAGTGATGGTTCCAAATTGGTCATAGGTCTGAATGTGAACATGAATGGTTATCTGTATTATATGTTAGCCCAATAGATTGGCAACCTGTCTAGAACATTTTTTAGTTTTACACCTGTGGGCCACGAGGCACATCATAGATTATTATTGAAGACACCAGGGACTACTGTTATCGATGTAAATCTCAGTTACAATACAGCTTCCCACCACTTGGTAGGAGTTGTTTTATCAGCCTCAATAAGCAAACAGAAGAAGACACTCTGCCTGCTGGTTGCAGTTAGAAAAATATATGGAGTTCTTAAAATGCAAAAATGAAGATGAAAGTGACAAGGGCCCCTCCCAAAAGGCAAAATCTTTGCACAAGTACAACCCTGACTTCCTGAAGTAAAGGTTTCTGAATAAAGGAAACAAGGCGGAGTGCAGATCCCAATGTGTGGACTGTGGACTAATGCAATCCAATGATAATTGATTTTGTTCAGTATGCATGAAGACATGCTGTTTAGTGGAGAGTACCAACACGAGCCACAGCTCTGAAGGTCAGTGACTCTGTCGATTAATATTTCCCTGAGGATCCCAGAGAAGCACACGTGTGGATTTTGGACCCATTTTCTGTTGATCCCACTGAAAATGATGTTGCTTTGCTCTCACATCTGGAATCCCAGCTTCTGGAAGTTTCCACCGACAGCACTTTAACGTTGCAGTGGGGCAAACCGGATCTGGGTCCTTCTGGATTGATGTCTCAAAGGAGTACCCATGTCTGACATTGAGAGCTGTGAAACTCCTTCTCCCATTCAAAACTACATATCTGTGTGAATCAGGATTTTCCATTGTGGTCCACACCAAGACCAAAGCCCGAAACAGACTCAGAGCAGCTACTCTGAGATAGCCTTTCCCCCATTCCACCCAGACTGGATTGATCGTGTCTCAGAGGCAGGCTCAAGTGTCATTAAGGTGCATAAAAGGGAGTTTTGCACGACTGCTGTGACTGTTGTTCATTTGTCTCAAATATAAAGAGTAACTTCTGGTTCTGCCAATGAAAAAAGGTTTTACGCTGAAGCAACTTTAAATTCACTCACAGATTATAGCTATATTTGTCATTTGCACTTTTTTTTAATTTGTAAGTTTATTTATTCATTCATTTAACCAGATTATTATCACATTATTGATCCAATTTTTATTTTTACCCTTTTTTGTCTCTTTTGCTGTAATAAAATTGAATTATTAATTACTTTTGTGTTATCAACCCTGATTTGAGCCTTTCAGTTTCTACTTGCAGTTTGATTTGTTCCAGAAATTGTTAACCTGTTTGGCATTTTGTTTTATGTGCAGTTTCACATACACATAAAAAAATAAATGTCTATTACATTGCATCATGTCATCATAATTGATTTGATTTAGTTATTAAATATAAATCAAACCAAAAGCAACATCAACTTATTCAATACAGTGTTAATATCTGACTGGGCCCCGGGCCACCTTGTAGTGGAAAAGTTGGGCCCAGAGGTCAAAAAGTTTAAGAACCCCTCTTTTAGAATGTAGCATTTATACTTTGCCTCTTATCCTGTGGAATATGTTTCTAAATTTGACAGCTTTTCACAATCAAGCTCATTATCTTTGCATTCTTTGTCAGTATTTGTCTGTGTGCACACCCATATATTTAAGTGTCCCTTGTTCAGCCACTTTAGTCTCACTTTACTAAACTAGAATTTAAAAACAGGTATGGAAAAAACTCAAATTTAAACTGATTTTATTATTAAACACATAAAACTGACATGTACTTGCATTATTCACGTTCATTCTTATTCACTTTGAAATGTAAAAAAGTATTTCTTGAATGTAGGGAGAACCAAAATTCATTGTGAGTACTCAATCAAAATAAGTTTAATAGTGCACAGTCTCAGTCATCCACTGTTTTCTTCTCTTTGATAGAGGTGATTATGGTAAAACAGTGACCGCCATATAAATATTTGTCAATGAAAAGAACAGAATGAATACTTAAAATTTCCAATAATCAAAGCGCTTCACGAGAATTGCGTTCAAGTTTATGTGTAGGTATGAAAGGTAAATTGGATAACGATATGTGTGTGTGTGTGCGTGTGTGTGTTGTGTTGTGTGTGTGTGTGTGTGTGGTGTGGTGTGTGTGTGTGTGTGTGTGCAGATGAAGATATAAAGATTCACAATTACTGTATCTCTATTAATATTTTACTTTGCATATACATGACAGTTATTTCTGCATGACCTAAGTGTGAAACTAATAAAATAGGATAACCCTGTATCTGGAACAATAACTAACATCACGCACAGCCTTTTTTCCTGTTTTGATTTCCGTTTGATAAAACTGTTGTAAACAAACCATGCGTTGTCTACAGTAAACAGCCCACTGTAACCAAACCAATATGACAGTCAAAAATAAAATACCATGAGTGTGTTGCTGGTGTTGTTTCATGTATTTGGGTATGGCATATTTCCATTGTGGTAGTGCAGTGAAACAGCACGACAATGAGAAGCCAATAAGATTGCTCTAAAAGTTGTCCCCTCCCATTTGATATGGTTAAATGTAGACAAATCCTTTCATAATGCAGCTTCAAACGTCTGCTGTGTCAAGAGGAAAAAAACAAAATGCAGACAATTTTTTATATACTGCTCCTGATCAATATTGGGCGTAAGTACAGAATTCTTAATCACTGAATCACTGTGGTGTATTAATCTAAAAGATTATATGACTATATGACTGTTGGTAACCATGATTCTGCTTTTAATTTTCAGGATGCTCAGATCATCAGATCTTTGACACCAAAAATGTTGCTGTTGGGCAAAATGTGACTCTGAATTGTTTCCGGGATCGTCTTTGGCATTCAACAAACTTATTCTGGATCAGACTTGTTTCTCAGAGCTTTCCTGAAGTTTTAGGATCAACAATATCTCATGATTCTCCGACTATTGAAAACATTCATCACATTACAACAAAACAAGAGCCTGGAACTTTTGTTCTACATATCAACAGAGCACAGTTAAGCGATACAGCTGTTTATTACTGCATCAAAGAAAGTCAGCTAACCATGACATTTTTGAAAGGAACTTTTCTTCGAGTCAAAGGTAAGTGAAACAGAAACAGCAACACTAATGCGCCAGGAATAGCAAAATTATTTGTAGTTTTTATGTTTAGTTGCAACAACTTTATTTGCCCAATATGCAATAATTTAATATATTTTTGATTTAACTGAATATAATGAAACATATTTATTTTTATTTCGTAGGACCTGACCCAGGCATCACTGGTGTCACTCAAGACTCTTTGTCTAATCCCGTCCATCCAGGAGACCCAGTGACTCTGCAGTGTTCAGTCCTCTCTAATTCTGAGAACAGAACATGTACAGAAGATCACAGTGTGTACTGGTACAGAACCAAACCAGATGAGTCTCATCCAAGTTTAATTTATAGTCAAGGAAACAATAGTTATGACTGTGAGCGGAGTCCTGAGGCTGCCTCCACACAGAAATGTGTCTACAGCTTCTCCAGGAACGTCAGCTCGTCTGATACAGGAACTTATTACTGTGCTGTGGCCACATGTGGAGAGATACTGTTTGGAAATGGAACAAAACTCGATATTGAAGGTAAGAATTTTTCTATAAATTATTGTTCATATTTTAGTCCATATTAATACATTATTATTATTACACATCAATATTAGTTTTACATTTCACTCTTATTTCACATTAAATAAGAACTTTTTTCAATATAGTTCCAGTTGTCCGTCATTGGGATTTGACCAACACCGTTGTCTTTCTGCTATGTGTTGCTCTCAGCATAAGCCTGTTTGTCATAGCCTTCCTCATTTATACCATCAAAGAAAAAAACAAAACCTCAGGTAAGAACAGTTATTTCAGTAAAGTAAAATACAGTGAAACATTTGCTTCTGGTCACTATTTACAGTTATTTTCTTTTGTTCAAATTGTTTTAATCCAGCTGCTGCTTCTCTACAAACAAATACAGAAACAGCTGGTGCAGAACAACAAATCCAGCAAGTAAGAAATTTAGAAATAAACAGCAATCAGCGCATAGCTATGAGCAATTTTTCTTGTTAGTCTATGGATGTGCATAAAAGTTGATGGATTTTTTATTTTATTTCCCAGAGACATGAAGACTCATTGACTTATGGTGCACCAACTTTTACCAAGAGAAACACTCGCAAAGCAGAGAGAAGGAACACGAGAGCAACAGAGACAATTTGTATTTACTCTGATGTCAGAGCTTTTGAGTATGGAAAAAGTGATGCTTGAGCAAAGCTTGTATTTCATCTCACTGGGCCATCAGCTAATACACTATGTGGCAGCTAATGTATTATTGTATGTTTAAACCTGATGTATTTATTTGTAATGACTGTACATAAAATATGAATAATCATTTGGCTTACCTTTAGTAACTCACAAGAATTCAATTTGGAAGAACAAAATCCATCTTCACTTTGGACTGATATGTTATATTGGCATGCCCAGACTCTTAGTGTGTTTTAAATGCATTCCTTTACCCTTTCTGTTTTCCTTTGTGTCCGCTGTAATAGAAATACAGAAATCTACACAGAAACATCTAAAATACTACTTTGTTTTGTGAGTTCTTTGTATCTTTCAGCTATTTTTGTCAGGTGTTCTGAAAATAAGCAGAAAATAAACTTTGCTTTTCATGGGGCTCTTGCAGAAGCTTTATTAAAACAATCAAATGATGTCTGAAGTATGTCTGGTTTCTCAGCTTTCCACCAAAGACTTCATCATATATGAGGTGTAACTCAGTTTCCATTTGTTGCAAACTGATGCTGGTTTGACTGTTGCTGTGCAATACAAGTGCTCTGAAAATGGAATCAATTAAATCCATCCAACATGAAATCAAAATATGGACCATTACGGCAAGGCTGGGATGGTCAATTTGGTTGGGCATCTTTCTTTGCCTTTAGACAACAATTCTGATGGCAAAAGAGCCAAACGGGACAGGCAAAAAAAAAATAAAAAATTGAAGACACCAGGGACTACTGTTATCCATGAAAATCTCAGATACAATACAGCTTCCAACCACTAGGTGGGATTTGTTTAATCAGTCTCAATAAGCAAGCAGAAGAAAACACTCTCCCCGACGTCTGCAGTTAGCAAAATATATGCAGAAGTTCTTAAAATGCAAAAATGAAGATGAAAGTGACAAGGGCCCCTCCCAAAAGGCAAACTTTTTGCACAAGTACAACCCTGACTTCCTGAAGTAAAGGTTTCTGAATGGAGGAAACAAGGCGGAGCGCAGATCCCAATGTGTGGACTGTGGACTAATGCAATCCAATGATACCGGAGGAATTGATTTTGTTCCATGAATTGTTAACCTGTTTGGCATTTTGTTTTATGTGCAAGTTCACATTCACATAATAAATGTCTATCACATTGCATCATGTTATCATTTTTATTTGACAAATAAAAATGATAATAACATTTAGCAGTTAGCTGAAATAGATTTGATTTAGTTATTAAATACAAAGCAAACCAAAAGTCATGAGATGACCATAGAGGGCGCTGCAAATAAGCTACTGACCATCCCAGCCTCAAACAACAGTGTGAGCCATCTTATGATGGCCTTAGAAATACAGCATCATCCTCTGGAAAGAATAAAAAGAAGTCCATTTTGCTGTTTGCAACTAGACGAGTCCACTTATGTCACAAATGGTGCATTGCTGCTGGTTTTTGTTCATTATTGCTGGACAGCAGTATGCATGAAGACATGCTGTTTAGTGGAGAGCTACCAACACGAGCCACAGCTCAGGAATGTTTCCACTGCATTGATGAATCCCTGAGGATCCCAGAGAAGGACACGTGGATTTACGACCCATTTTTTCGTGGATCCCACTGAAAATTATGTTGCTTTACCCTCACATCTGGAATCCCAGCTTCTGGAAGTTTCCACCGACAGCACTTTAAAGTTGCAGTGGGGCTAACTGGACCTGGAGTCCTTCTGGATTGATGTCTCAAAGGAGTACCCATGTCTGACATTGAGAGCTGTGAAACTCCTTCTCC